ACCAGGATGGTCTCGATCTCTTAACCTCGTGATCCACCCGCCTCGGCCTCCCAAAGTGCTGGGATTACAGGCTTGAGCCACCGCGCCCGGCCTTCTCTTACTTTCTCTTCTGTGTTTCTTCTCTTCTACTTTTAAGGATCCTGGTATAATGTAATCATTGGACTTACCTGGATAATCCAGGATAATCTCGCTATCTTAGAGTCAGCAGATTAGCAACTTTCAACCCATCCTGCAAGCTTAATTCTCCTTTGCCATATATCCTAACATAGTCACAAGTTTCAGGGATTTGCACATGGACATTTTAGGGGGGACATTATTCTGCCTACCACAAGTTCTACTGGGATTTCACATATGTCCTTACAATGCATCTTTAACCCCCACCTTGACTATGCACACATAACCAAAGAGGCCTGACCTGATTAACAACTTCTTTATTAGTTAAGTAAAGATTGATGCTCTTTTTTTCAAAGTTAAAGAAGTATATTTTACTAATATTCTTATAACTAATAAAAATTGGACAGGTGTGGTAGCACACGCCTGTAATCTCAGTACTTTGGGAAGCCGAGGTGGGTGGATCATGAGGTCAGGAGTTCAAGACCAATCTGGCCAACATGGTAAAACCCCATCTCTACGAAAAATACAAAATTAGCTGGGTGTGGTGGCGGGCACCTATAATCCCAGCTATCTGGGAAGCTGAGGCAGGAGAACAGCTTGAACCTAGGAGGTGGAGGTTGCAGTGAGCCGAGATCATGCCATTGCATTCCAGCCTGGGTGACAAGAGCAAGACTCCATCTCAAAAAATAAATACAAGTGATTCTCCTGCCTTAGCCTCCCGAGTAGTTGGGATTATAGGCATGAACCACCATCCCCAGCTAATTCTGTAATTTTGGTAGAGACAGGGTTTCACCATGTTGGTCAAGCTGGTCTCAAACTCCTGACCTCAGGTGATCCAACCGCCTNAGAACTCACTTCTTTCCCCCACTGTCATCCTGAGACGCAGTCTTGCTGTGTCACCTAGGCTGGAGTGCAGTCAGGTGACCTCAGCTCACTGCAACCTCCCCCTCCTGGGTTCAAATGATTCTCCCACCTCAGCTTCCAGAGTAGCTGGGATTACAGGCACCTGCCACCATGCCCAGCTAGTTTTTGTATTTTTAGTAGAGATGGAGTTTCGCCATGTTAGCCAGGCTGGTCTTGAACTCCTGACCTCAGGCAATCCGCCCGCCTCAGCCTCCCAAAGTGCTGGGATTACAGGCATGAGCCACCGTGCCCAACCAGGTATATTTTTAAGATTATCTTGTTACCTACAAACTCTCCAACAAACTCTAAATGCTAGACCAGAAGTTCCCATTGACTGATAACATTTCAAAAATTATTGTGGGGATTGGTATTGGGCTTCTAGCTGCTTGTTTTTCAAATAAAAGCATGAACCACACTCAGCTTCTCTCCACAATCTACCAAGTATCCTAATTGTTATTACATAAAAGGACATTTAATACCAAAAACATAAAAAAGAATCTCAGAATAATATGTATTTCTTTAAATTATTGTAGCCTAATTAAAAACAAATAGTATTATAATAATTTTTCTAACTTTGCTGATCTTGGACTAGGTTTTTAAAGAATTACTTTTATGAGTGATTTACCTGTAGCAACTATGCCATTGTCCACATGAGTCAAGGACTGGGGGCGGCTTCGAAGTTTGCTTTTGAAAGATCTTGGTCGACGTGGTGATGCAGGTGGCAAAGGAATCTCTGTAGATTGGGTTTTGCTATCTTTAATTGAGCGAAGGCGTTCATAGAGTTCTTGCAGCTCCTTATTTTGCTGGGTTTGAAGATTTACCACCTCCTGAATGTGTCTGAACGAAAATCATGCAGAAAGCATTTTAATGGCACTGGCTCCATAAAGATGAGCCAAGAAACTCTATACTGGTATAAGTAAAGTTTAACAAGGAATTTAGATTAAGAATAGGGAAATGCAGACTGGGCACAATGGCTTACGTCCATAATCCCAGCACTCTGGGAAGCCAAGGCAGGAGTACTGCTTGAGGCCAGAAGTTCAAGACAAGCCTGGGTAACAGAGGGAGACCTTCTCTCTCTTAAAAAA